TTGACGCATTCACTTTCCGCGCGGTGATGCGGCTCGCGGCTGGAACGCGCTTCACAACTCGCAGTGTTTATGGTTCGTGCGGCTCGTCTCTGCGGTGAGCCAATATTCTCCCAAACTGAACGGAGCAGCATGGAGCTCTACGGCAAGCATCCAACACTACACCATGGTAGAAGTAAAAATGACTGTTTACAACATGGCATTTCAGCATTTTTAACAGCGTCCTCGTCTTTTCCGACAGTGCGAGCTTTTTCTCTCCAAGAATTATTAACAACATGTTGATCACGGTGATCTCTGAGAGCTGAATCATACAAATGTCTGTATTTACGAACCTCTGCCATACTAATTCTTGCCGGTCCGCCATTTTTTTCCGCGTCCGTCCGTCCGCGTGGTTAGAAATTTTCCGAGGTGCGTGTTGCGGAAATTCTGGGCCGTGCGGAGGCGCGGTGGAGGGGAGTGGTTGTTAAAATGGCGCAAAATTACGCAACTTTTCCGCGTGGAGCTGTGTGAACCTCGCGGACGCGTCAAGCATAAACCAACCTTAAGAGGGTGCTGGACCATTCGAAGCCTTGTATATGAAAATCAATGCTTCAGTTTAAATCCTGTAGGCAACAGGAGGTCAGTGTAGGTCGCCACAGAATTTGGAACTTTCTGGAGTCTAGCTAGGCAGGATGGATTAACCCCAGTCAGAACAGAGTTGGTGAAATCCAGATGGGAGGTAATGAATGCATGAATAACAGACTCAAGACGACCTTTTGAGAATGGATAAAGCCTTGTGATGCGGGCAGTTGAAAGAAAAAAGATGGTGGCATCGATCTGAGAGGACAAGTCAGAGTCTAGTTTAACGCCCAGGCTGGTGGCACATGATTTAAGACTCAGTGAAGAGAGAGAGGGGACACCCGAAACAGTTTATGTTAGTGGCCTTGAAGAGGACGGCATCAGTCCTTCTGTCGTTTAACTGCAGAATGTTTGAGGCGAGCCAGGGTTTAACCTCAGAGATGCATTTGGAGAGCCTGGTTGTTGACTATGGTTGACTCAGTTGCAAATAAATCTGTCAATCATCTACTTAAAGATGGTCATTCACTGTGTGTTTGGCTAAGATCTTCCCAACTGGGAGCATGTAGATCAAGAAAAGGAAAGGATCCAGGATAGAACCCTGAGGAACTCCCCACGGGTGTGGCACATTGGAGGAGGAGCCGTTCTTAATACAAACACTGAAACGTTGATTGGTTAAGTGAGATCTAAACCAGGCGAGGGCGGTTCTATTCACGCCCACCCAAGACTTGAGCCTATTAAGTAAGAATGAATGGTCCACCGTGTCTGCTCTGTGCTGACGTGAATACCTTAATTGTGATGTTTCAGTTTGATTTTAGCATCCTCATCACAATGAAGCTGGAAAAAACGTAAATGGTTGTGTGAAGTTAAAGGGGAACAAGGCAGTCTTGGCTCCCTTTTAGCACCCCCTAGTGTCCGTTTGTAGAAATGAAAGCAAAACTTATTTTCTCGCTGTGCTTTCGTCTTTTTAACACCTTAATCTAACAGCTGAAATGTCTCGCCAGCCTTCCTTAGTGTCTACAGGAGTGATTCATCACTAAATTAAAAAAATCAGCTGTGTACATGATCTAAAACATGCAGGAAACATACTGAATGCAGACTGCAGCACCAGGTATGTCAGCTCAGTCTCACTCCTAACAGAGCAGCCACCAGTCTGAAGTTGCGAGAATATTCTGGCCACAGGGGGCGATAGGGGCTGGGTGGCCTTTCATTAACCCTGTTAAGGGTCGTTTTAGCACATATTGGCTCAAGAAAATAATTAAAAAATATGAAAAAGTTACAGAGTAACCCTTTAAAGTGCTTAACCCAGCCAGCTGCAACACTTCAAGGTCAGAGAGCGATGAGGTGAATTGATGTCATCTGGTGGCCAACACTTGAACTACACTTGGCATGCTCATCTCAGTTAAGCTCGAAAAAGCTTAAGTTTTTTTTAGTCCTAATTGGAATATTAATATCAATGAGAAAGGGTAGAATGGCAAGAGAGTTCCATTTTTAAATTATAATAGTTACCTACATCAAAACACATCTCAAACTGTGTTTTATATTCTGCAGTAGTGTGAAGTCAAGGTGCTAAACCCTGCCAGCTAAAACATTTCAAAATCAGAGTTTGATTGACTTTATAGAATGATTCTGTAGAAGAACTAGACAAATCTCAACAATAACATACATTTTCCTACTTCTTCCTTCTTTTCAAAGTGCTGTTGGAAACCAGGGCACAAATTCCCTGATCTGTCAAAGCAACAAAACAGTGTTTGGAATTTTCTACTAAGCAAATTTAAAAATTCAGTTTCTTCTTCTGCTTCTACTCCCCATCCTTTATGTAAATTATCCAAAGAGGACAAAAGTATTTTTACAGCTTCAATAAACATGGCTAAAAGTAACAAAGATGAAGTAACAGCTTTCAGACTCTAGAGGGCAGCAACACCCCGTCTTCACTTCTTTGCTGTTGGAAACATGAGTGTTTAACTATTTTAACTTCATAAGTCCAGTTCCTTCTTCTCCTTCTACTCCTCATTAATATTTTCAAGAGGACAAAATAAAAAGCTTTTTGAAGACTTCATTCAGATAAAGAAGCTAAAATGTTCTCTTCTAAAATGGCTGCAAATGGCAAAAGTGTAAAGCTTGCACACAAAATTGTGGGGACCCAAGATTGGGAACCACTGTTATTTTATTTTTTGCACTTTGGGGAATATTAATATTAAGGAGCAGGGATAGAAAGGCCAGATAGAGTTTCATTTATAAAGTCTTAATAGTTACTTTGCAGGAACAATTGCTGTAATTTATTTCAAATTAGACTGTATAATTTGGCAGCAGCAACAGGTTAATTCACTCTAAAAATTATTATTTTTTCTATTTTATTTGATCAAAAAGCATGTTTAAATCTGTGTTCATGTAACAGTTTTAAATACTACAATTGTGTGAAATCAAAGTGCAAAACCCAGCCAGCTACAACATTTCAAAACCAGAGTGTCAGGGAAATGGTGGATGTTGCAGGACCCACAAATGCAGTAAATCTAGGAGGCAGCCAGTTGAGGCAGTTAAAAAATAATTTCATGTAAAAGCAGGAGGATGAATAAAAACATAAAAAGAAACCAACAAGGAACAATGAACAGAGCAGGCTTAAAGACACTGAGGTGGAGACAAGGAGCAGATTGCAAAGGGCCTACAGGTGTGACTGGTTGACTTGGGGATGGAAGGTAATACAAAAACACAAGGCTGAACCAGATAATAAGACAATAACTAAACAAGATGCTGAGAACCAAAGTATTCTAACAATAACTAAAAAAGGGGAGATGATAAGAATAATACGAACAGAACAAAAACAAGATAATGGGTTATGGAAGGGACAGGGAGGACATGGACATAGGAGGGAGAAAGCATGGAATGGACTGGGAAGACAAAGGACAAGACATGATGCAGAGTTTGAATTTATAGAACAATAAGGTGAATTGACGCCATCTGGAGGTAGAAGGCTGGAAGTACATGTTGATTTAGGTAAACCAAACAACAAAAAAACATTTTCACGTCCTTATCTCACCTAAGCTGGGGGAAAAAAAGCATTTTGTCCTCTTGGGAATTTCAGTATGAAGGAGTAAGAGCAGAAAGGCAGGAGAAAACTTACTCGATAATTTATAAACGATAGGCTACTTAGTAGTTACACTTCAACATAAAATGTATCTGGTATGCACACTGCCTGTCCTGGGTTTAGCCTGCCCCACGTGTGTGTGTGTGTGGTGATGCTAGGTATACATATGTACATTTGTGCAACTTATCTGAGACCAGAACAGACTCAGGAGTGGCATGTGGTCCATCTCAGTCCACAAATGTTTGCTCATGTGGACATTGTCAGGCTTAAGGCTTCCTTCTCTACCTGTGGACATTTTCGATCTGTTTGTGCGAGAGATCTTGACATGTTAAGGGTCTCCACTCCTCATCCTTTTGCTGGATCAGCTCATAACCCGATCCACATGATGATGCATCTGCATGCCTTGGTAAAAAGAATGTTATTGACCCTTGTGCACAAGGGAGAACATGCACACAGCAACTGTGATTTTCCTCTGAGTCTGCCAACCCTTGATTGGTGCAGCAGCCTCACCCATGTGTCAGACTACCCCCCATGCCTCTGAGACCCATTCTGCTTTTAACGGGCTCTGAGGCTGGAGCTGGATGCATCCCAAAGGGCATGCCTCTTGAAGCAAACCTGCTGAATATCCTCCATTGATTGCAAAAAAAAAAAAGACTCCTCTCTCCAAAAAACCAACTGAAGTGTGTGAAGTTTACATATTTTACCCATCTGCCTTCTTTGGCAACACCGCCACCCTACCTTAACACTTTTAACCCTTATGGCTCCATTCAGCTGATCCCTCCAAGCAAATGATCTTCTGTTGAACTTTGTCCATCAGGAGTAATGGGATCCTCCTGGGAGTTTTGAAAGGGAATCATTGGACACCTGGTTTCAGTTTAATGTCATATTTCACAGTTTAGGGACAGGACGTCTGACACCAACTCACGCATGAATAAGCTTTCTGTGATCTTTTTTTCTGTACATTTCAGCTTTAATCACCACACTTCCGAGCCTAGAAATATAGATAGTCCGACCGTGGCAGAAGCAAGACGATTTTTCTCTGCATAGATGAATAGGATGGCCTGCCTCTTCCTCCTCTGCAGTGGCACAAACACTCCTTGGTAGAGTAGAAGTATGTGCAATCTGCCAGTTAAGTCCTCCACACTTACCGCTGCTATACTATAAAGTAAAGAATATACATTCACGATCCTTTGGGTTTGATAAAATCTCTAAATAAGTCACCCAAGAGTGACGAGCGAAAACCACATCAAGGGGTTTAGATGTGTTCTGTGGCGCTGACGCAGAGCAGCAAAGCGCCGGATGGGACTAAATCACCCGCTGTGACCCGCCGCCATCTTGCTTAGGCACATCCAGCTTGTGTGTGAGTCAGCTCGGGGCGGCGGTGGCTGGGCTAGCCCGTGTGTGTGTGAAAGTGTGTGTGCGCGTGAGTCTGAAGGGTTTCAGTGGAGATGCAGAAAGAAAGGGCTGTTTCGAGGAAGTGACGGACGACGCTCGGAAGGCTGGTCAGAGGAAGTTTGCCCGGTAATGGCTCCGTGCTGCTGAGCGAAACTTTTCCCTCTCGCGAGCAGCGGAAGCATCGTGGATCGGGACAGATCCAGCGGCGGAGGAAGAGGCTTTTGTTTGGTTTCGCCGTTCCGAGGAATAACTTGAGTCTGGGAGAAGGAGCGGGTCGCAGAGGAATTTCACCCCCCATAACCAATCTCCCCCCTTCCCTCCCCCCCTGTATCCCCCCGCGCCTCGGATATTTTCCCTGGGATTAGCAATGGGGAAGGAGCAGGAGCTCCTAGACGCGGCGCGCACCGGGAACCTGGCCGCGGTGGAGAAGCTTTTGTCCGGGAAGCGACAGTCCACCGGCGGCTCGTCTGGGACCGCTGGAAGCGGCACCGGCGGCGGCCACGGCGCCTCCTCTCACCCGCTCTCCAGCCTCCTCAGGTAGGAAGCAGCCAGCCGGCGGCTCTGGTGTGTTCCTGTCAAACACACCATCTAATCTCCAGGAGATGCGTGTTTAGCTCCACCACAGCCCGACCTAGCAGCAGCAGCATGCTCCTTTGTTCAGCCCAGACCCCTGGTGTTCCTCTAATGTCCATAAAAGGCAACTTCAAATGCAACATTCAGCAATTATTCTAAAGCAGAGTTTCCTTTTTAATGGCGAGCTCAATGACCGGAAGTCCTCAGTGGGAGCTCACCTCTGATGTGGTTCTGCCACTTCCATAAAAGCTGCTGGGAAGGTTCCGCTCATCTGTTGATTTTAAGTGTATTTTATTAATATTCTCATCAATAATCCGTAAACCAAGCATGCTGCGTGCAGACAGTCTGACGTGGAGGCCTGATAGACAGAAGAGATGTTGGTACTACTGACTCACTATTCCATCATCCAGCAGATGCTGGGTTTTTATTAGAGCTGATGAATGGGATGAGTTTCATTTTGTCCTACAGATGTTATCTAAGTTATGAGTTTACAGCTACAGAGGAGATGTATTTTGTCTTTCAGCCCTACACATCTGTATTATCAAAGCAAGAGTATTTTTATGTAGTTATTCCAGACAGTAAGCTAAAAAAACCCCATTTGATTGGAGGTGAGAAACACAACCCAGAGCGCCACACAGGTGAACCTTTGCCACACCTTGTCCCAGTGGGAGTCCTGGTGCCTGCCACCTCCATCTGAGGGCTCCATGTGCTGCACTACAGCATTACTTAGCACACACTGCCAAGTGTGCTCGGTGTAATCACATTAAACCCATCTAATCGAATATCCAATTCAGACACACCGTGCAGTCGATGCTGGCTCACAGTTTCACTCTCAGGTCTGGAGGCAGCCTGACGTGCCCATTGTGTCATCTACTTGAGCAATCAGTGTTTGGCAACGGGAACTCTGGGAAATAATTGGCTAGGCCGTGCAGGAAATGATTATACTGCTGGTAAAAACCTGCTTCCCGTGGACTCCTGATCTCAGTGGGCAGCCGGTGAGACTATCAAGAGTATTGACCACAGGGAGTCAGTGGGGCTTGTTGCTGCTGTGTATGACATTTGATTTAGTGTGCATAATGGAAATGTCAATATGTGTATGGGTGGATTACTAAAGTAGAGCGGACCGAGATTTTGTGTCTTCTGTTTTTTCATTCATTAGAATCTGTGACTGATTCATGGTTGGAAAGTGTCGGCCCCTAATCCGGTCAGAGATTTCTTCTGACCGGAGACTTTCTTTCCTTTTTGGTCAGTTCGAGCTGATGCTAGTTGTAATGTGAGCTGTAATGTTAACTTCCCTTTTCGCATGAATTGTTCTATGAACAGTCATTTGATGAGGCTGTAGCTGCTGGGATGTTTCTAGCTGAGACTGTCGAACATCCTGTTCACCGGCTCGATTCGTCCCCAGGTTTTATGCTACTCTGTCCGTTGGGATTCAGCTGTGCCCTTTGAAGGTGTGCTGTGTTTCCTTTAGATTTTTGGCGTTCCTCCCCAGGAATGGGGTGCGTGTTCGGACTTGCAGTGTTTTCGTAACCAGGCGGTAGTGCAGCTCTGCTCTGTAGGAATTCTGCTTTCCCAGGAGGCCACATCCATCCCACCTGTTGTCGTGGGTTAGTCACCACACCGATGTCAGTCCTTTTTGTTCTGTTAAGCCAGCTAGACTGGCACTCCCGTAGTTGTAAGATCAAAAAGCAGCTCCATGAATGCTGCCCTGTGTTCATTTATCCATTTTTTTACGTGGATATCTCGATCACCACTTTTTATTCCAGAGATTTGCAGCTGTGTTCCCTCAGTGATCTTGTCTGGCCCAGATCATCCCAACACAGGCAGCTGCTACAGTCAGACCGGAGGTAAGACCGGCCCCTGACAGGAGAGTTCCTGCCCACTGAGGGGAGATTAATAGAAGAATGCAGAAAGTCCTGGAGTGGACAGACACTCTGAGAGCTTAGCCAGATGAGGACTCCTCTCCCAGCTTCACAGCCATCTTCTTTGTCCCCCTGACAAAGCCTAACAGGGTGCTTTTCATATTCATATCATCCCCCAAACCCCATCCCGGCTCTTCTTTATAGGTTGTAGATTTGCTAAGAAATTGAGCATTTTTTTTGGTAGAGCTGGACCACCCACAAAGAGGAGAATACTGATTGAGATTAATGTTTTTTATTGCTTTAGACTAAAACTAAAAGAGCTTTTGCAACGTTTTAAGATGAAGTTAACCTCCAAATATTACCAAAAACCTTTTTTGCAACTGTTTAACTTTATTTTTAAAGTAATAGTTCAACACTGAATGTCGTAGTTAAACAGCGAATGGTAGGGAGTAGGGATGTAAGAAAATATCGATATGACAATATATCGTAATATTTTTCCTGCGATTATTACATCGATATTCAAAAGCCGTGTATCTAACTCTTGAAAGAATTTACATGCAAACATTTGTGTATTTTCTTTTCGTTTTGTGCAATTCAATCGCCACCCGCTAGTTGGCAGCAGTGTGCAACGGGTTTTGTTTCCACCGTTGAACTGTAAATCCCTCCATCATGGTTCAGATACTTTATGTTAAAAATGTTACGTATCAGTTTGGACTTTTATTGAACATTCTTACAATAAATTCAGTAAAAAAATTGCTTGCAACGTCTGATTGAATGTATCGCAATATATCGTGATATATCGTATCGTCTCCCCTGTATCGTGATATGTATCGTATTGCCAGAATTTCAAAATACACATCCCTGGTAGGGAGTTTTTTAAACAACCATAGTTTGGAGAAAAAGTGATTACCTTCAGACTGGGTTGAGATGCTAATGACAAGTCTCAAAAGAGCCAAGATCAAGATTAATTACTGCCATATTTAAGGAGACAGTGTGTAGTTTTGACCCTTAATTTCTGGAAATATATATCAAAATGAATGAAATGATGTCCAGTTGTTGAAAAATATTGGCGGCTTCGTAACATATAACCATAAAAATCTGGTCTAAAATACATGGGAGAGGGTCTAAGTCTCTGGGCAACGTCATATCAGATGCCATGTTTCCTTCTAAGGGAACCCATGAGGACAAAATGCATTTACTGATTTGTAACAAACTGTTATAAAACTTTCGTCATTCTTAAAGTGACAATGTGTCGTTTTTACCACTAATCTCTGTAAATATTCATCGAAATGTTGTAGTGAATGAATTCAAAGATGCCCTTTTGTTGAAAAATATTGGCAGTTTCATAACTTATAACCATAAAATCTGTTCAAAAATACACGGGAGTGGGTCTAAGTCTGTGGGCGACGCCATATTGGATGCCATGTTTCCTTCTATGGAAGTCTGTGAGGACAAAATGCATTTACTGATTTGTAACAAATGGTTACAAAACTTTCACCCTTAATAAACATTGTTGTTCTACACATTTACCTCTTCACTCGTTGCCAGTGATGAAAGGGAGTCTGATGTGCTTGTCATTTTGCTAAAGTTTGCACTCCCTGGGGCTTTTTGACCCTAATGGGCATCCCCTTGATGAGGTCTTACTCCAACACAAAAACACTGATTGCTTGCAATAATTTAGGTATCTACTGCCCTCTATTGCCAGGAAAAATACACACTGTCACTTTAAAGTGCTGTAATCTCACACATTTTACTGTATTTTGTGCAAGGAGTGCCACTTTCTAAGTCTTTATATTTCTGTAAATTTAAATGCACACTTGGCAGTTTTGCTTGCATTCACCACCCCCTAGTGTCCGTTATAAATTTCCTGTGGTCAAGCTAAAAGCAGAACATACCTCCTTGTTGTGCGTTTGTCTTTTTAACACGTTAACAGCTAAAATGTCTTCCCAGTCTTCATTAGTGTCTACAGGAGTGATTAGTCACTAATTGCTTATAAAAGTTGCCTCTATGTAGAAAACAAATGGGTTCTTCTTAACCCTCTTTTTAGAGACCCGGTTGAGAACCAGAGAACTGCTTTGGTGGACAAATCTAAAGGATGTCTAGAATATTTCTGCTTGAATAATTATATAGAAATATACGAGATAGCATTGACACAAACCGCTATGAAGTATTACTGTTGATTTTAGATGGCATCCACATAGTTTATCATTCTGCTGTTGGCTCATCTTTCTGTTTGAAACTGATCTCAGTGTGTTTACATGCGCACTGATCGACATCTAAGTCATTTTAGGTGGATCTTATGGGAATTAGCTGGGAGTCTTTATCCTGGTTTACATGCACATTAGAAAACTGATCTTTCAAATGAAGTTAGTTCCAGTACAGCAGGCGGCGACATGCGCTCTTTTGTGCTAGGGATGCACCGATGGATCGGCATTTGATCCCAATCGGCCGATAACGCCCCTATCGGTTTTGATCGGAGTTTTCAAAATAGATCAAAGCAGACCGATCAACCATTTTAGATTAATTACATTTCCTTTATTCCCAGATTATGTAGTTTGTAGCACTCATTATAATGTTGTAGAAAATTTCTGGCCAATCCACGTGATCGGTATCGGTGATCAGCATTCTTTGATATCGGTATCGGTGATCAGCATTCTTTGATATCGGTATCGGTGATCGGCAGCAAAAAATCTGATCGGTGCATCCCTATTTTGTGCCTGCATTCTACCGGTTAGCTTATAGCAACACAAATAGTAAACAAACGTTGGTGGAAGTCAAACAGGGCATTGAAACAGGACATGTGCAATGGCTGAAGGAATGGACAACGTTGCAGCACAGATTATTTGGTACGTGCTGTATTGTTTATTGGTGTTACATGTGTTACTTTGTGATGATGATGTTATCAGAAGTCCACTTTCGTAAAATGAGCATCCAATCGGTTTGGTTTAGCTGACCCGTTTACATGGATTCCTACCGCATTATCTGGGTGCTTCAACACAAATGGAACCAGTTTGCCTTCAGCAAGAATTGTACGTTTACCCGACGTGACTCTTTTTAGGGCAATGCTTTGGTATTTTTTGATGCCCATGTAAACACACTGAT